AAAATCTGGCCGATATGAATAGTAACATTTGTCATTGTGTAAGCAATTCCTATGCACATTAAAGTTCTAATTATTGTGCTGGTTTACTTATAAAATGCTGTCTTAAATTCATATTCTGATATTAATTTCTCATCACCCATCCACAATCTCAACATTTGGTGGTGTGTATATTGGTATGTGTATAGTACCTACCACACAAACTTGCAAAGTAGAAACGCAACTTTAAAGTCACATTGTAGATTATTATCCAGTCATGATTGTAAAGAAGTAAGTTATTTTGGTAATCAAAATTATTCTAACCAAAACCAAAATTTTCTAGCTTTTCAAGCGAATTGTACATCAAGAAGTTAATGTATTCAGCTTTCTATGTGGTGATGTTTTTTTCAGAAAACTTCAAGCAGTTCGCTCAGCTTTAGCAAACGAACATGCTATTCAAGACTTGTTGTTTAAAGTAGGGTTTGATGGTTCACCTACCTCAATGCCAGAAAGAGAAGATAAACCAGCGGGTGCACCTAACTCCTGTAGGATTCATGGTTCTATGTCTTTGAATAAGGTATCGTGTCCAATACAATATACTGTCATGTTTAGTATCTGTCTCATGCTATGCACATAACTTTGTATTTTGAATCATGCTGCACAATGACATTGGTGTCTATGTGAAGCTACTTACAAGATTGTGTTTGATTGGCTACCCATCCTTAAAACCTAACAGTCGGACCAATCAGAGAGCAGCTTGTTTGTCGACAGTTTTTTTTTTTATGTATCTAATTTTCCTTGTATGTTCTTTTCGACTCAATTGCAATGTTTGCGTTTTCAATGCCTGTATTGTTAAATAATAACTTGTGACTGGCCACAAACAAAAGAAAAAAGAGTACTCAACATTTCTGAAATGTGCAGGAAATTAAAATAAAAATAATTTGAATGTTAACATCTTGACCAAAAATAACACAGTGTATTGTATTTTTAATTATTAAAACACAGTTCTTTTGCTTACAATCTATATTTATTTTCCGTTTTAGGTTGCTGGTAATTTCCATATAACACTTGGCAAATCTATACCTCACCCTAGAGGCCATGCCCACCTAGCTGCATTCATTAGCCAAAGTCGTAAGTGTACTGTCTAAATGATTTCACCTGATCCCATGTAAGAACAGCATACATGTATGTTTATTTTAAGCACTAATCATAGCATACTCATAGCAGTTAATTTGTTGAATTAATCAAAAGAAAAATTATGCAATTTTGTACAATCAATAATTATTGATACTTTGTTTTTTATTCTCACAAAGATCATTGCTTTCAACTATGACTTTAGATTGAATTATACACAAAATAATGTGTATCATTAACCCATTGTGTATGGTCATCTTCTCCAACTTTAATTGATCCAGTCATCTTGGAGGAATAGTTTTTGACAACATGGCTGTCAGTTGGCCATACAAATGTATTGTGTTAGATCCCCCCCAAAAATTAGTACATGCTGTACCTACTTTGAACACAGAAACTAACATTAGACATATAAAAAAATAACCACTAGTCGGTCATATTGAATAGTATCTTGAAAACAAAATAAACTTAACCTGCAGGTAAACATGTGTTTTCATCTAACTAAATTTGATTATAATCAAGCTAGTCAATTTGATGACATGTTAATGCAAGTATTAAGATTGAGGTAAATTTATATCAAAATGATCACTAGTCACTCAGTCAAATTTGTTTGGATCAAAAGACAAATTGTAAACATAATTTTTAAAATGATTAAAAATGAATAAATCAATGCATATTCAAGAAAATGTTTACGACTGATGTACAGAATTCAAATTATGTACCGTTGTCTGACTTTGGAGACTAAAAGCTCACAATAATAATATTTTTATTCTTATGTTTTTGTTTACAGAATATAATTTTTCACACAGAATAGATCACTTTTCATTTGGTGTTCCTACTCCTGGTATAGTGAACCCACTGGATGGGGACCAACGAGTTACACAGGAAAGTAAGTTTGCCGCATCCTTGTTTTAGCACTATTATTGTTGGTGCATCATTTTACACATTCCTATGTGCTTTTCTACAATTTGTCATTGGCTGCATATTTATTTTGTGAAAAATGAAAAAAGTATTTAAAGGGTTAAAAATTTAAAGGGTGGTGGTCATTGTGATGTGTCATGTTTTATATGGGTCCCATGCGATGTATGCATACTTGTGTTTGTAATGTAAACTCACATTGTTTGTTTGCACAGAATTTGAATGTGTGATGCACGACGACCAACGTTCTTTATATTGCAAATGAAAAGACCATGTCATTGAAGGTTTTGAAAATTGCCTTTTACATGTGCTTGTGCGCACTTTTTGCATGTTTTTGTTTTACTTTCATAAGTATCTAAACAGGATATATTGAATAGCGTTTAAATGAAAACTGAGTAATGTTGAAATATTTTTCAGAGGATTGCAATGTACTCTTGTTTGGTCATAGTTCATGCACCTCAATATTAATATGTTCAATTTCTATAATAACACTACATGTATATTTCCCTTGTTTGCAGATGCACGAATGTACCAGTATTTTATACAGATTGTTCCAACGCGTGTGAACACAAGACGTGCTTCGGCAGACACTCATCAATATGCAGTCACGGAAAGGGTATTGAAGCATTCTATATTTATTGAGTCAAACAAAAATTTATAAAGCATACGTTTGGCCGAAACCAATGCAGTGAGGCATTCGCATGCTGCAATTATTTTAAATTAGCATATTGGTCTAGGACTGGGTGAAGAGGAAGCTACACTAAAATTATGTTGTGATTTCTACCATTGCACTTATTAATTTACCCTTATCTCTTATCTGTTGAAGGACCGCGTTATAAGTCACTCCAGTGGCAGTCATGGTGTCGCAGGAATATTTTTTAAATACGATTTATCATCGGTCTCTGTGAAAGTAACAGAGGAATATCAGCCATATTGGCAGTTCTTAGTACGACTTTGTGGCATCATTGGGGGTGTGTTTGCAACATCAGGTAGGTTCGGATTCTTTTGTTTGGATGACATCACTCAAATGTACTACTGTAAAATCTGTATTAGAAGCCACGGCTCCTATTAAATTAGTACAATGCAACAGAGGGGATGCGGCTTCTGTTACAGCATCTACACACATAAGAAATGATGAATTTTTGGTTCTCAATTGTTCAAAAAGAATGGGTGTGACTTCCATTAGGGATGCGACTTCCATTAGGGTTGCGGCTTCTAATACAGATTTTATGGTATCAGAAATTACATAGGTGATTAATTTCTCCCACATTGTTTCTGACTATTTGTGGTCAATATGTATATATATATTTGACTTTGTAGGAATGTTGCATTCGCTGATTGGTTGCCTATATGACCTGATCTGCTGTAAATATCAATTTGGAAAATACAAACCAAAAGAGGTTGGTATTCAGTGATGTCTTTGTTAACTTTAATCATTGTATATTCTTATAACATTTGAAATTAACTCCGAGAAGCAAGCACCCATGACTTCCATATACAAAATGAAATATTACTAAAATAATGTGTTCTAGTGTACACTGAAGCCAAATAATTTTATATTCTTTTCATATTAAAGTTTATGGTAGTTTTTTTTTTTGGTGTAAAACTTTAAACAGAATGGAATGTTTGTTACATTTTATGTGTTTCTGTCTTGTAGCATAAAGCTTCCACTGTACCAGTGCATCATTTAAGACCATCCGGAGATCAAACTACAGATGAACCTAGTGTCAATTTTGTCTTACAAACACAGCAAGAGGTACCAATGAAACAGTGAATATGCCATCCATCATCGAGAGAGAGAAGCAGTACTAGATAGAAGATTCCATTTCATTGGTTGTTGGGCTTAATGAGCTAGCCAATCAGAAAACACTTTTTTTGTGGATCTATCAAATAGTGGCTCATAAAATCACCATTTTATTGTACCTTTCTTATTTTTATTACTGTTTGATTCTCATTTTAATCTAAATGCTCCAATTACGAAATGCTAGCATGTTTAGCAACTACTCAAGTGGGAGAGATTCGTTTTTTGACATCTGCTGAAAATTTCATTTTGTTATCTGGGAAAAATCTTTCTCTGAAACTCTTTTCAATATACATACCTTTGATGTTTGTGTGGTCTCTGGAGGAAATAAAACCTATTTAACTATAATTATTGTTTTTCATTAATGTGTTTCTGTACAAATGAACCATCTGAATAAGTAACCTTCCACTACGAGTAAAATGGTTTAATCCACAAATCTGCAGCTTGCAAAACAAAGAATATACATAACTCAAAAGAAGGAATTTGATTTTAATATTCTTGAGTTAACAACTGGTATACATTGATGCAACTATTAGTATTCAAAGATGTCATCATAGCAGACAAATAAAATGCGAACTCTTTCATAAATACAAGCAACTTGTAGTTTCAACCCTTTCACAACAAATCCTTTCCAGAAAAGAGTCCTACAAATGTGTAGGTCATTAATAGTTTTTCATGAAAATCTGCAAGCAATATTTAATTCAAGTGTAATATGAATTTTTTTGTGTTAAATTTGCAATAGCAATTTTGATGGGAAAACAGTGGTGAGAGGGTTAATAATTTGTCTATTTCTTGACCTCTACATCATCGTTACAGTTCAGTTGTATCTGTAAAAGTACTCTATCTTATAGTTGGATTTACTAGTATTCTCTACTGTACCTAGAATAGACTACCTGGCTATTCAGGATAACATTTTGACCTACTTTGTTCTTAAACTTGTTCTGCACATGACACTAAGTTCACATAATAAATCAAAGATGTCAAGCCATCATATTCATGTGAATGAAAATAAGTTGATTCACACATTTATGGTGATACTGGGTTTACATAATAGAATGTACAGAACAAATACGATATCACTACACGTATGAATTTACTAGACAGTGAATCATGCAAGATAATAGGAAAAAAAAAACTTCTTGTCTGATTTCATTGTAAATTTGAAAAAAAAAATTGACAGATTGTTGATTACAAGCAGTATACCCAAAAATATACACAAATTTAAAAAGACAGCCTTGAAATCAAAAACAGTAAAAAAATTATATAAAAGTTGTATACAACGATTAATTACATTACAGTGTTTGCGAGTTCTGAGAAATGTATAAAGTTTAAACATGAACCTTCAAATATGTATGGCTCCAGAACTGAATTCACAAAAAATAAAAATGGCCACTAGTTAGCCATTTTAAATTGATCAAACTGAATGCTGTGAATCAGCACTCCATGTACAATACCAAGTTGGAGAAATTTTCATGCACAACCAAGATCCAGATCTGATATTCATTGCTTGATATTGATTTTCAACATTAAATCAGATCACCAAATAAATATATATGCAACATGATGTATATATATAGTTTGAACATGATTGACAGGACACGTCAGAGTCATAGCTCCAAAACAGCATTTCTTGAAACAAAATGGCAGGCAATTGGCCTCCGATCTGAAAAACAAGATGATGTGCATAAAGGTCCCATATTGTTAGGAATGGCGGGTGGTAAAATGGCTGCCATTCAGCCATATTGATTTAGATTGCGAAATATGCCAAGATACAGGTGGAGATGCACACACAGACCATTCAGACTTTGTTCTAACAGGTACAAAATACATGTATTCACTAGTTTCAATTTTAGCAGATTTGATGCTGCAGAAATTGAAAGGATTATAAAGAAATCAGTACATTTAATTGAAGTGAAACAAATGAATATTAAATATTCACTTTGTTTCACTACAATTTATTTTAATTTAATTTATCTGCCAGAGAAACCCTTCCACAGTAATTAAGCAATGTTTATTGGTATTTTTTTATATAAAATGGTATGAACAAAAAATAAAAAGCATTCTTGATAAAAAGGAAGATCAGAATGAAGAAGAAAAATGCTGAATATTGCCTACAATATTCTTTTCTCTGTTTGATTATGTGTTATTTAAACAATATGTACATTTATTTTCCAACATTCTGTCATGTTCTAACAATACATACAAATATGTGTGAATCTTTTAACCCTTATTCAGTCAACAAAAATTTTTTTGTTTTTAACCCTTTGAGAACCAAAGTCAACTTCAGGCATCATCCACAAAATAGTTGCATTTATAGTCTGCTCTTTTCAATTTGTTAGAACACAAACTAGAAGCAAAATTATTTGAGAAACATAAGATAGGATTTTACAAGTTTAACACATGTATGTGTATATTCAAATGAAAGTTGACATATTTTTTCGATAAGATATATAATAGTTTTTCGCTTCAAACAACGACTATTAATTAGCTAATTTGCATATTGACTACACAACTCTTCTTTATTCTTTTTTAAAACACTTCTGGTCATGCGTACCCGCCAGATTTGACTCCCCCACTTCAATATCAAAGGAATTTGGTGACTATTTTTGTTTATCAACAGTTTCTTTTTTTTACAAAGACTACTAAGTATTGACTTCACAGCAGCACTGTTATATCACCTACTCCATACATGTATACAATGTGTATTTGAAAGTTTTCTTTCAAATATCTCATGCTATAGTCTCTACTTTACATCTCATCAAAGGTAGTAAAAGGATAAGGATTTGCAACTTGATGCGGTGGTAACGAGGGTCTGAAACTCGCATGTTAATCAAACAAACAGCATCACAGAAAACCTTTTGTTTGTTAGTAATCTTGGAAAGGTTCAATTGATGAAATAAGAGAAATGTAAACACTCCATGGGGAAAAAAGAAAAATGCTAATCCAAATGATTTCTTTTACTGACCCATTCATTTGTAGTAGAAATTTTAGAAATGTGTCTTCTTATGACACGGGGGATAATATTTCAAAGAACCACCAGTTCCAAGTTCTAATTATGCATTTGTAGCACAATTCTTTGTGATCATAGGGATTTGTTCACACTTCACATCGGTTGCAACCCTTACTCTCTTATATAACTTTGATCTTACTGATGCAGGCACTTCAAACAATATTTACAAGTAGTCATAGAAACAGATATTGGAAAAAAATTATCTATGATGAGAAATACTAATAACAGATTGAATAAATTGTAGGTAACAGTCCAGTTATACAATATTGATATACTATTTAAGATCACAATAGTCCTAATACAATACGCAAAAGTGAATCAGTACACAACTATTAGTATTAGAAAGAACTCGCAGTTACAAAACTTACAAATATTGAAAACACTAATCCTGAAAACAATAAAATTCCTAAAAGGAATACCACACACTAGAGCTTACTACTAGTACATCACTATATTTAACTGCTCTTAAGTTGATATGAAAAAAAATCAAGCAAATTAATTTAAAAACAAAACTTTGAGCACCTGCAGAAAAACTATTAATTAAACATTGCACATAATAAATGTTAATAACAGTAATAATTGGAAGATTACAATGTATGTGCGTAAGAAGGCCATACTGACTTGTACCAGCAGGTTATGTTATGTAATATACACTGTTACAGTGGAAATTACATGTACTTAATATAAAACTTTAAAATGACAGTTGTAGTGATAAACGCTTTATAATGGCGATAGTATACTGACGTAATCACGAAAGCGAATCTAGAATTTTATTTTATACTCAGAATATCAGTATATTTTGATTGTACTAATGTGTCATGTGAATGCCCTGGATTGTCCCGTATCCCAGATCGTCATATAATTGTGCGCTTTCAATGGGAAGTATAAGCAATTTGCGGTAAATTCAACCTAAAAGCATCAGGATTATTGTAACATAACATACAAGTAGTATATAAGTTGACTGCCGTAAATATTTTCAGAAAGAATTAATTCTCTAGTACCCCGGTAGTTTATTCAGGATTAAATTTTGATGGAAATATCATTGTTTCTAATTGGCTAAGGTAATTATTTCTTACAGGATATACCATTATTCCACAGGGGTGAGTGGCATCAAATATGATGTGTCAGTATCAGTGTTCACCATTCGCATTCATGCACGCCTCCACCTTCGGCAATATGTACAGTATGCCAGCACTATCAATCGTGATGAAGGTCTTGAAATTGTCAACCACCCCGATATACTTGGTGAAACTACCCTTTACTGGGAATGTTTGCAAACATTTACCATCCACTTGCCACCACTGAAAATGACACAAATAACAGAAAAATATTATTAAGTGCTTTACCATGTTACATACTGTAAAACATGCATGTTATTTTTGCTAATTTAGCTAATCTGTAATTTCAGTAATTTAAGATGAAGTATATCATCACAATGAAATTGTTGGCAGTTCAGCTGAATTAAAATTAAGCTGTTTCAAAGTTTGAAAATAAAGCACATTTTATTAATAATAACCCATAATTAATCACCAAGGATGACTTACTTTGATTGTCTCACTCACAGAAACAAGATTTTTGCTATCAGGTGACCATTGGATATCTGTGACCCAACAGTTATGTCTTGCACAGTTACTGATGTGTTTCCCGGTCGATGTACTCCAAATCTGTTAGGAATCATACAAAGTAAGAATTAGTGATAACATTTATGAAATTAAATTGCCCCCCCCCCCAAATACATTTTACAATATATTTTTATCAATAAATAGCACTAAATTGTCTTCATTACTATATTGCATCAAGACAATATTTTGGTTTATATGCGTAATCTTTTCACCACCAAACTTCCTCGCCCAAATTTAAAAAGGTTAAGTTACTATATTTTTAGTAGTAGTGTACCTGGTAGAACTAATCTACCCAATCCTGGACGTTCTTATTGGACCACAAATTTGTAAAGAATGTCAATGTCTGCTATTTTTAGAGCATTCACACTGTGGTGTCTTAGGTACAATAGTAGTATCTGATACAATTCTGAATGAATTTATCTATGTTAGTTGACACTCACCTTGATTATCCCTTCATCATCACCAGTAGCAACCAGTTTACTATCCGCCGAAAATCCACTACTTCTGACGCAATCTCTGTGCCCCTTCAACAAGTGTACCAACTCGCCATTTGAAGCATTCCACAGCTGTTAATATTAAACATAGAAAAAAACATTTTATTTGGTTTGATTCATCGTTTTGCACACTGGTAATATCCTAGCTGCATTATTTAGTAATAAAACTGATCAATACCTCACGTACATACATGTGCAAATATGACTTTTAGGTGCGAGGGAGTTGATGAGAGGGGCTGTAGTTTAGAGAAGGTAAAGGATTTCAAAAGCCGTGGGTCAACAATTCAGCTAACTATAATTGCTATGTTCTGCCCCCGAATATGACCTTCTGTACACTAGGGCTCAAACTGCATTGTAATAAATATAATAAGTTGACAGTCAAAGCATTACTCTGAGATTTATTGGGACCAGAAATTTAACACTCCCTGTCATATGGTCATGGTAATTGTTTCATCACAAAGAATCTATTATTACTACCCTAACTTGGTGATTATTATATGCTAAGACTCCCTAGCTTATATATTTAATACACTATATGATCCAATGAATGTCCAGTTGTGTGTATTTAATATCTATTCTGTTATACCAATACCTGATGTACATTCCCTGACATAAAATGGTACATTTTAATATGTGAGGGGGTGTATTAAATCAGCATGACATGTGACAAACCTTGGCAGTGCGGTCGACTGAAGTGGAGAGTAGTAAAGACTCATCAGGTGATATATCACATGACAGAACCCATTCTTTATGTCCATCACATGAAAACAACAACAATCCACTCCGAGCATCCCAAACCTACATAAAACAACAAATAATATAACAATCATAAATTGATGTTTTATTTTATATTTAAATATAACAGGTGTTTACAGAATAAAAAAAAAGGGGCAGCTCTACCCTGAAGGTAATTGATGGTAACTATAGAGACAATAGATTCGTGCACAGCTACAAAGTTTAATTAGAGGCCACTGTTACCCATAATGACACCATAGAGGGCGCTCTAAGTTACTCAATGTGACACTATATGGCGCTGTCCATTAATCATGTGACACTAGAGAGTGTGTGTACCAGGTTTTCCATACTTCCCCAGAGTTGATTTCTAAAGACCAGAATACACTCACCTTTAAAGTGCCATCATAAGACGATGAGAGAATTTTTGTGTCATTATCAAATAACTGGCACTTCCTGACAATGTCTCTATGTCCTATACAGACAGTTGGATCTACGCTATCACCGCGGTCTTTCCAGATCTGTGTGCATGGAGCCATGTAAATAAGTTGGTGAAGTCAGTAAAACGTACTAAAGATATTCATGTGACATATTCGAATTGTATGCTTCCTTAACATAATTTAGTGACAATATAGAGGGCGGTAGAACAATATAAATTGTTTTTACCTTAATGGTATTGTCATCAGAGCACGTAACAAGTACTTTACCATCCTGCGAGAAACAACACGATCTGACTGGACCAGTGTGACCTTCTGGATAGTTATGTAGTATTTCACCACCAAATGATATCACCTACCATTAAGAAAACAAAGACGCAATATATTGTTTACAAATATACATTTAATGCCTCACTTTGACATTGATTTCAAGCAGTAGTTGTAAATAGCTTTTTTGACAACCAATCACAAAAATTAAAAAAATATTAACGTAACTACAAATAAAAAAAAATTAAATACAGTATTTGCACACATACAAATTGCATTAGCTGACAGCAGAGCTAAACAAGAATGAAATGGCCATCACAATGTACGATAAAGATTACCTTAACTTGACCTTTGTCTGTACCATAAGCTATTTCGTCCTTAGAAGAGATTGCACAACATCGTATTCTACACTGCTCGCATGGCGTCATACCGCTACAACTACGATTCAATTTACTGTCACCACTATGACCCTGGATGATCTATAAATATTAATCAAACAATCAATTTTTCATGAAAGATATCATGTATATATAAATGTGTGTAGTGCGGGGTGTGAGGGTGGGGTGTTTTTATGGCGTCACAAACCTAGTTTTGTAAATGCACTGAGCTAGCAGTCATTTTTTGATCACTTAAACATTTGCACAAGCCAATGATTTTCTGTGTATTTCAATTTTAAACTATCAGTTTCTTTTGTTCCCAACATTTTTTATGAAAGGTATCATAATTATATACATGTATGTATTAATACTATAAAATAAACTGGTTAGATAATTAATTATTTGACCAATACAATATATGATGTGTGAAAATGAAAACCAGAGAAACTATTACTTGCAAAGAATAAAAAGAAAAACATGAAAAACAAGTCATTGAAAATGACACAGTCCCCGTTAAATTAAGTTCTCTTTGTGCTTGTCATATTAAAGCGGAGGGGTGGCCTTGAAACTTGAGTTCCAAGTGGCGTATACAACAGATTGTTTATTTACATCAAAACATGTGTTTCGTGTAGTTGTAATATGGCCAAAAAAAAAAAAACAGCGGTTATTCGGCCATCTTCGATCTGAT